GTAAGAGAATTATATATAATAGATAGATTAGTATGCTTATTTAATTCTAAGTATTTTCAGCAACGTATTATTATGAAGTAAATAACTTGTCCAATTGCTAGTAAAATACCTGGTGATGGCAGAGGCGAGTTCTTCTCCGGTCCATTTTTAATAAAATGCGACTTGTCACTCATTAATTTTTCAATGAGCTCATATTAAGTTCTCGATAGTTTCCTAACTCCATATTTTCCTTCTTCGAAAAAATAAAAAAGGCAAGCCTCAACGTTTCTAGACATTTTTAAAATAAAATAGACATTTTTAAAATTAGGTGAAATGTCACAAGATCGATATCAAAACACAACAAGAAGAGTAGAGACAGAAAGTGAAGGAGTACTTTTATTGCTAATAAAACACCGATATTTTCAAATTTGATTGCCGCAATATATACGCGTTTGCGTAAACAGATGAAATGAGAACACACTTTAACTTTCCCTCCTTTATATTTAGCTGATGTGCATTTTAAATCATCGTTTATTTATTTATTTTTTTCTTTCTGATAAGTTGGTAAAAATAAGTTTCAAGTATAAAACCCTGCGAAAAATTATAAACGATATCTCCTTGAAGATATTGAAATGTGTAAAAGAACAAAACATTGAAGGTTACGGAGTTAGAAAAAAAATTTACAATATGCATTCTTTAAATTTTTCTTTGAAATAAAACCAAACCTAAGCTACAAAAACAATATTAATCAGAAGATATAATTATTTTCTAACATTTGAATTTAATTATTTATATAATTAAGTTGAATATAACTAAGTTGAGTTTTTTCGTATGGTTTATCAATTGATTTATCAGAAAGAAAAAAAAATGTAAATGATGTTTGCTGTATCTAATAAAAACCAGGCAAAATATGCTAGGAAATGCAAAATATGCTAATTTATGATACATTACAATAGGATTATCATACATGTATAGTATATTTACCATATGAAAAAGTGTATATGGTGTGTTTCCATAATTTTGCTCCCATAATTGTTTAGTATTTTACCATAAGATCACCATAAAAGTAAGATGTGTTCCAATACATTTGCTATATGTGTATGGTACTTTTTCATAAGGAATTGTCTTGCCATATAAATACTATACAGATATCTATGGTTATCATTTCATAGGATTATGGTGTCTTGCTATATAAATGCCATCCAAATCCTTATGGTTACCATAGACCTATATGGTTGCCATAGGCCTATGGTGTCATGTCATATAAATACCATACAGATCTCTATGATTACCATAGGCCTATGGTATCCTGCCATACAAATTTCTATGGTAACCATAGGTTTCTCCATGACAACTTTTCCTAACGGTGTTCACAACGCTAATTTAATGTTTTCGTTTACCGAAAGACTGATATCTTAAACACTATTTTTGCTCGCATCTCATTGTGCTTGAAACTGATCGTTAATTTCTAAATCCTTTAACAGATATCTTTAGCTGAAACTTATAACAGTATATTAGTGTTATTTGCACAAAAATAATAAATGGTTAAATTATTTCGAAAGATAATTTTATAATTCAAATATATAATTACCTAATAGTAGTTAAAATATACAAATTTTTACTTCATTTTAAACTTGGTATTTTTAAATCACAAAATACAAAATTTCAAGGGAATGGTCCAATAGTTTTCAAGCAATAGAATAGTTAGAAATACTATTCTATAGCTTGATACAATAGAACACATACAATAGAATAATTCAAGTAATAGAAAGAATTGTTTTCAAGCAATAAAAATATCAAAAAGTCGTATTTAGAAATATATATCTTATACTATTTAAAGTGTTTCAGTCAGATTCGTCATTTAAAATTACAAAATTAAAAATAATATACGAGTAATTCGTGTTGTAATATTTCTAATCAAACACTTCAAGTTGCAAAATAAGCTATCATGAAAATCCAATAACATATACTAAAAATTGATTTTAATGAATATCTAACAAATGACACAACCTGAAACTGATCATTATTCAATACAGAATTTTATCAAGAAGCAGTTTCATAAGTATGACTCTTTTTCACTATTTTTAAGAGTCTTTTGGCATAGCAGGAATGCATTTTTTCATTCCAACGATGAGAAACGAAAGTCCTACCAGTGCTGCACCAATTGTACTATATATGTCAGGAATATCACAAAAAAGAAATGTCTGTAACAAAAGCGATGAAATTATGTTTGAAGCCGCTCTGACAGTTGACACCGGGCTGACCAACTCATACTGAAAAGCTATAACTAATAACGTCTGCGACGCATAACTTGCGAAGCCAAAAAGAATCACGTACAGTTTTTGCAAACCGCATTCGTGCCATCTGAAATGACCAAATATTGATGCAAAAACTCCAGTCCAAATGGCAGACATCCAGTTACTATTGAATGTGACAACGGCATGATTAACAGTTTTTAATTTTCTAGTAATAATTACCTGTCCCGCAGTAAACACTAGGGATAATATTGCAGCTGCAATTCCATACAAGAATTCATTTGAATATGAAAAACTATCGTCGAACAAGTAGGGTGGCACTTGTGCTGTAAATATAATTGCAATTATTGTGAGAGTTGTCGTAATGTATAGTAATAAACCACAAGGCTCGCCTAAAAGAATGTTTGCTGCGACAGCGAAAAAAGCTGGTCTTGTGGATCGAATGATAATTGACACTCCTATTGGTAAATATTCATAAGAAATGAAGGTTAAAAATGTACTAATAGAACCACATATGCTTTGGACCAGAAGGAACATGCGAGCACTTTTAGGTCCGAAAATATTTTCTGCACTTTTAACTGTTTCTGGAAGGGAAAATGCTGCAATGGCTATAAAATGGTATGTGGTCATTTGACCAGCATGGAGATCTTCAAGAAGTTGTGAGTTTGCTACAGCAACTGAGTGGAGAATTCCAGACAGCATCGAGAGTATTAAACTTTTAAAAGTCGAGATGTTTATCATGTCTACCATTCTCCATACTCAATTCCGGATTCCAGAAACTTCATCTTTATTGATTCATCTTATCAGTTTTTATTGATATATTATTTTTTTTCTTGGTAGTAATCGAAGAAATCTAAAACAATGGAAAAAAAAACATTTTGTTAAATCCACTACCCATATCTTAAAAAGCAACAGAAGTTCTCAAAAAGTGTTCCTCGGAAACTTGAGGAAAATAACATATATATTATGTATTCTTTCTCAATTTTATTTTAATGAAAAACGTAATTCAATTTATATTTAGTTCAAGTTTGTACCGAAAATGTATTCAGTCTTGACTTGCGAATTTAACTGTATCTGATATAAATACCTTTTCTTAAGTTAAATGAAGATTTAATGTTGAAACGTCGAAAAAATGTCATTTTTCAAATTAAATGTTTTAAAAATAATTTGTAGCTTTTATTTGGTTCAAAAGTTCATAAATGCTAATGAATTTAATTTATTTAATCGATACTTTATGGTTCTTATCGGAACTACAGTAATGGGCTAGTTAGTTTGATTAATTGATACCAAACAAAAATCCGCATTAAGGACTAAATTGATTAATAAAGGTTATTGCTTTAGGAAAAAATTATATATATTGCATTGTAGTAATTTAATGACATTTAAATTAGTGCAGTGCAAGTACTAACCAAGAACCATGGGTACACTATAAAAACATTCAGTGTATCTCAACATAAAAATGGTGGTAACAACTTTACATCAAAGTGGTGCAATGAAGCACCACAAATAACTCTTGGTTCAAGGTGCTTCACTGCACCAGGTATATTTCCTGGTGTAGTCAAACACCAAGAATGCTCTTTTACACGAGTTCATGTAAAGTAGCTGCCACCATTTTGGTATTCCTTAACGCTAAAATTAATAATAAAAAAAAAATGATATCCATACAAGTCTAGTTATTTCTAAGGTACAATTTAACGAAAGAACCGTTAGCTTTGTAAACATAAACACACTAATTCCTAAATTATAATTAGTTTGTAAATCAAAACATACACATAACACAGAGAGAATGTTAAGAGGCATTCGAAATAGGCTTAACAAAACGGAAACGGATAGAGATTATACAGTATGATATCATTTAATACAGTTGTCAGAGATTTAAAAATTAAAATATAACTAGGAGGCTTCGCCCCCTGATCGCTGGCGCTCGCAAACCCCCAGAACTGCTTTCGCAGTTCATTTCGGATTGCTTCGCAATCCGATGCTTGCTCATTGGATACGTTCTTAACGTCTAGATTTTGTATACTTTTTTGAACACTGAAGTTGCGAAAACTTTTCACTGTAGAAAATTCTAAACATGTTCATTTCANATATATACACACACGAGGTTTCAAAGTTAGTTATAGATAATCTCGTATATAGATAAATAGATTGATAGATAGATAATGTGAAAATATGATATGAAAAGGTTTTATGACAGTCATATAAATTACAAATTATTACAAAATTAAATTAATGTACTTATTCAATTACTTAGTTATTAAATTAATAATTTATATTAAACTAACTTACAAAATTAACTTATCACAAATTTTTCCTGTTGTATTATAAAATCTAATTTTAAGTAAAATACCTTAACCTGATTATACATAAAATTAAATTGCATTAAAGAATTAGAAATATATAATTTGAAATTTACACTTACTTAGTGTCTTAAGATTTGGTGAACTTTCAATAGAGCATAAGTCGGATTATTAGAAGAGCCCAGAATCAAACACTTCAACTGCCGACTTCACAGTTATGATTAAAACATCCATTTAATATTTTGAACCAGAGGTTATTAATTTGAGAGACAGAATAGTCAGCAAAAATTCAGTTTCAATGGTAAATGTCAAATTGTTGTTGTTAATTTACTGACCTTTAATGTGACAGTCGTAATCGCACCTGTAAGAACTTAATACATTATGCACCGTTTTATAACAGAATTTAAAACAAAATAATTTATTCTTTTAAATTACTACCACACTCTATTTTCCGCAAAATAAAACAACAGACAGATTTTGCAATGTTTGTGGTGACACTGAAAAGAATTTATATAGAACATATTGATAAATTATAATGGGATATTTTTCTTTTGAATATGGCAGAGTCATTGTTTTCATAAAACTTGGAACCATATCAGTGATCAAAATCTCAAGTAAAAACTTCTTGAATAAACTACATGTTGTGTCATGTGATGTTCAGGAGATTTGCCTTGTCATAAAAACTATTAGGCATGCTCTCTTTTTGCTCGTAAACTATTCTTTTTCTTTATATCCTCTCTCTTTTTTAAAATACTTTTCTTAACAAGATGGCCGCCATTTCGAAAAATATTTAGTGTTCAGATAAATTATTATTATTTAAACAG